TCTTCACTTACAAAATTTGTTATACCAAATTCAGTAACCAAAATTGGATTTATGTGCTTCAAAAATTGCACGTCTTTGGTCACTTTGTGTTGTCCATCAAATTTGAAACTGCCAAAGTCAACTTTAAATGGGACTTATGCTAAGATTATTTCATTCTAAAGTTGTTAACTTTACAACGTCAAAGTATTTTTTGAAATTGATAAAAAAAGTAAAAAAAAATCAATTTAAATTTTTTATTTTATATTTTTAAAATAATTTAACCAATAAAGTCAATTTTTAAGTGTGTTGTTATATTAAATCAATTGTTTATTTAGAGTGACATGTATTTTATTGTCTAAATTCCATTTGTAAAAATCGTGTTAGTCATAATTTTGTTGACATTTTTTTTGCACTCCCAATATTATTTTTATGTGTAAATATTAAAAATCTTTAGCAGCACCCAACATTTCGATACATCTTTCAAAATGATCTTTTTGAGGATCTTAACGATTAAATATATGTGGTTCAATAACACAATAGTTAGTGCATCGTACTTATTGTAAAGAATAATGCGAAGTTCGTTGGTTTTCTGGACCATATTATTATCAAAAAAAAACATCAACAATAATAATTATTTAATATACACAACAAAATTAAAAATGGCACTGTGTAAACTCTTTCCCATAAAAACATAATTTTATATTTTTAACAGACCACTTCAAAAAAAGAATAAATTTTCGAATGTTTCACCAATTTTTTGACTAAAAAGCAAAGTTAATGTTTGTTTTTTTTAGAAAATTATATTTTTACGTTTTGATCAACTTTTATTTATTTTTATGTTGTTATTAAACAAATTTATGCTAATTAATAAACAATATCGTTAATTTACTTAGTCAAATACATTGATTTCAATAAATATTGTTAGTTATTATTTGGTCTATATTTATAAAATGATAATAACTCGTTAAATAAAATAATGAAAAAATCAAAACAACACTGTTTTTTATAAATTGGTTTTTATAATGGTTTCTGATAAAGATTTTGTTTAATGTATTCCAAAAAAGTTGCAATGGATGGATTTCAGTGGATGCGTTACAACAGCCACATTTAGTTTATTACTTCGGGATTGTTATTTTTTGGGATTTTTTTTACTATACTTTTAATTCAGCTACCAACATAAAACTATTTTCTGCATATCGGAATACATTATTTGGATATGAGTGTAAATTACTCGTCATTAAAACGTATCATTTACAAGATCATTTATCTGCAGCCGATATAAAAAATAAAAAACAAAACGAAAAATTATCTTGAAAAATACTACAATTTACAGTTTGAGAAAACCCATAACATATAAAAATACCGAACTTCTTTCATTAAATACAGTTTGAAAATAAATAACTGGACACAAAAAGTAGATATGCTGCAACTATCGAACTCGGCGAGTTGCGGCGTCGTGAAACCATTTCCGAAGAAGATAGTAGATACAAAAAGGAGATGCCTGAAATAATTATAAACATCAAAATGTCATAATCATGGGTTAGTTCCAGTGTTTAATTTGAAGCATAAAAATGCACCCATTTTTTTCGGTATATCCAATATTTAAAAGAATAGATTTTGTTAATTTCAGTGTACATTAATTCAAGTTGTGGTGGCGTGGCATATTACATAAATGACACTTTTGCCGTCAAAGTTGTAAATGTTTAAAAACAAAAAAGCGACAAAAAAGTCAGTTAAGTTGGTAAACAACAATGCTTTTTGGTGTAAATTTGTCATTATCAATCAAATCGTTTTGTTCGGCGGCGTAAGTGGATGGGCTGCAATGACAATCATTAAGACCTTTTTTGTTCACAATTATATTAATATCACTACCAATACCAAATAAAAAGAGACTTGAATCGTCTTTAGAATAAAGATAAAATTCATAATCTAAAAGTTTTTTTATTTTTTTAAACTTTTTTGGATTTAAAGTGCCACTTCTCACAAGTGAAAAGATGTAAGAATTGCCACTGTTGAGCCAATTGTTAACGGCATTAATAGTACCATTGTACACGCCACCAAACTTGTTGTGATTTGTGTCTTCTACCAAAAAGCACAAATTACAATTGTTAATGATTTTTGCATCAAACACTGAGGTTCCTGTTGACCAGTCGTCTTTATCTGAGTCAAACACAACACTTCCAATCTTCATTCCTGTCAACTTCTCAAGACTGGCTTTTTCTTTTCTAATTTTTTCTTCATCGTGTCGTTGTTTTCGCATTGATAAATTTTTCCGATTTCATTATTTGATCAACTTTAGTGTTTTTCTTTGAATGATTTTGTTGATCTGGTCTTGCAATGATTTTATATCATATTGGCACTTTTCTTCATAAAGTGTAATTCTGATGTTGCATATTTCATACAACTTCTCATTGCCACTCTCTGTTGGATATAGAGGTATTTCACTTTTGGTTTTATTTGAAATGTTATCCAAATCAGTGACAATTGTGTTGAGTGATTCTGCGATGTTCAATTTTCTT